CCCCCCCTCTTTTTTTTTTTGGGAGGAAAAGGGGGGAAAAAAAAATTTTTTTTTGGGGGGGGGGCTCAAAAAATAAGAAGAAGGGTTTTTTTTTTAAAAAATTTTTTCTCTTTTTTTCCCCCCCCCAGAAGAAAAGAGGGGGGTTTTTTCTTTTTTTTTTTTTTGTGGGGGTTTTTTTTTAAAAAAAAAAAAAAAAAGGGGGGGGTTTTTTTTTTTTCCCCCCCCCCCAAAAAATAAAAACACATAATAAGAGAAAATTTAATAAAAAAAACAAACCCCAACAAAAAAAAAAAAAAACCCATTTTTTTGGGGTTTTAGGGTTTTTAGGGGGGGGGGGGGGGATTTTACCCCCAAAACCCCCAAAACTTAAAAAATTTCCCCAATTTTTAAAAATCCCAAAATGGAAAAAAATTGGGAAATTTTTAAAAAAAAATGGAAAAAAAAAACCCCAAAACCCCATTTTGGTAAAATTTGGAAAAGGGGTGGCAAGAATTTTAAGAATGAAAAAGGTATTTAAAGATGAAAATACCAAACCATTAGTAATTGAAGGTGCAGATTTAGATGAAGGTCTTCAATATTCAGCAACTCCAGGTTTACCAAAACTTAATCAGTGGTTAAGAAAATTACAAATTAGAAACCATTCACTTCCAGAACCAAATACACAGGGCAAAGAATGGGATTTAATTATATCTAATGGCTCACAAGAATCACTATATAATACAATGGAGGTTCTTTTAGACGATGGCAACTCTATTATTACAGAAACACCAACTTACTCAGGTACATTATCTATTTTAAAACCATTGGCATTAAATATAGTTGGTATTGAAACTGATAAATATGGTATGATCCCAGAGATATTTGAAAAAACTCTTAGTGAATGGGACCATAGTGCAGCTAAATTCCCAAGAGTGGTTTACATAATTCCAAGCGGTCAAAATCCATGTGGTTCAACTATGAATAACAAAAGAAAACAAGATATTTACAAAATAGCATCAAAATACAATTTAATTATTTTAGAAGATGACCCATATTTCTATCTCCAATTCGACTATGAAGACGAATATGGCGCTGACACAAAATTAGGTCGATCATTCCTTTCAATGGATACAGATGGTAGAGTACTCAGATTCGATTCACTTAGTAAAATATTATCCAGTGGTCTCAGATTAGGTTTTGTTACAGGTAATAGAGCATTATTAGAAAAGATTAATTTCCATCAACAATCAAGCACACTTCACGCATCTGGTGTAAGTCAAATGATAGTTCAAGCATTATTGACCCAATGGGGCTTTGAACAATGGGATAAACACTTGGAAATGGTTCAATCATTCTATCGTGAAAAGAGAAATCAATTTGTAAAATTATTGGAAAAGCATCTTTCAGGCCTTGTTGAATATAACATTCCATCTGCTGGTATGTTTGTTTGGATTCGTCTTTTAGGTATTCAAGATAGCAAAAGCTTAATCTTTGAAAAAGCAGTAGAGAAAAAAGTTATCCTCGTACCTGGTGTTGCCTTTAAACCAGATAATTCAATTTCACCATTCGTTAGAGCCTCATTCTCGACTGCCAATGAAGAACAAATGGATGAAGCTTTAAAACGTTTATCAGCGTTATTAAATGAAGAGCTAAATAAAAAACAATAATAAAATAAATAAATTATTTTGGTGGTTAATTTAATAAAGATCCTTATTAATGGATCTACAAAATGATTATATGTTCATTTATTATTTTTTGTTGTATTTTTAATTATTAGCAGAAGCTAAAATTTGTTGATGACAATCATGGAAAATGACCTCAACCAAAGACAAAAGAATATTTTGATTTATATTCTTTTACCAATCTATTACCTTCCAAAATATACAAAAAGCTATAATCCAGATAAGCCACATGGTGAAAAGACATTTTCAAAGATGGTTCTCAATCTCTCAGTTATGCACGCCAAATGTAAATTTGAATATGTTACTGGTGTCCTTCATTATTTTTTCTTTTAAAAAAATATTTGTTAAGGTAAGTATTATATTTAAGTTACATATTTATAAATTTAAAAGAAACATACTAACTCTTCTTCTAATCTTTTTCCTAATATAAACATAGTAGGTGTAGTCTTTACCAGAATTTAAAATACCATGTTTTGGTTGACGGAAACTTTCAATTTTATCTTTGACATGCTGAGTTAATTTTCTTTGAAAAACTTCTGCTTGATCCAAAGAAATAATACTTTTGATGTCATCAGTCAAAGTAAGAATTAAATTAACATCTTTAAAGTTAGTATTAAGAATTCCTCTAACATCTTTCATTTTGGTGACAGGGTCGAATTCTGGATTTCCAATTTTAGAGACATTTAAATTATTAAATTTGTGAATGAGGCTATCCATTTTAATTAAAATTATTACTACTGATATATGAAGTTAATTTAATGAGGGTAATATATATAATAAAAAAAAAAAATTGTAATATTATGGTTTATATATTTGTTTGTTTTGAATTTAAAAAAATAAAGTTGGATTTTTTTTTCTTTTTATAGTTTTTAATTTTGGAATTTAAAATTTTTTTTTTTTTTTTTTTTACTTATAATGAAAATATATTAATCCACCAATTCAATATTTTAAAATTGTGTTATATTATGTGGAAAAATTCATTGAAAATATTTTCAATAAAATATTTTAATTTATTTTTTGATCAAAGCTTTATTTGATTTCAATTAACCCACATGTTGATTGTGTAAAAAATTATTAAATTTTTTGTTTTTTTTTTAGGGAATGATTTTTATTATAATAATTTTTTTAATTTTTTTAATTTTTTTGTTTTTTTTAATTTTTTTTTTAATTTTCACGTGCGCTTTTTTTTTTAAATTTTTTAAATTAAAAAAAAACAATAATCAATATTAAATAATAAATTAAAATAAATAAAAATTGAAAACAAACCCACACTTACATAATAAATTGAATGTAATTTAACTGATTTTTTTTGATTTTAATAACCGAAAACACTTTTTAGATTCATAACTAAAAATAACCTATATTGTAACCTTTTCTTATGGTTTGTATTGGTTGATGTTTTTATTAGTATTTAAAAATGAATATTATTTTCTATTTTTAGGTGATTATCAAAAAATAAAAACAACAGTGATTGGTATGTTTTTTTTTTAAAATTAATATAGTCATTTTATTTGAGGAGGTGTGAATCAACACATGCGCCACAATATCTTATTAATTACATTTTTGAAAGCCCTTAACAATAAAATATAAAAAAATGGTGATATTTCGAAAATACAGTAAAAAAAAAAAAAAATAAAAAAATATTTTTAAAAAACTTTCCCTTAAAAAATAAAAATTTATATAATGAACCCTAAGGTATCAAACGAAAAAATGGGTTGTGATACTGCCAAGATATTGCAATACAGAAAAAAAAAGTCATTCCCTAAAAAAAACAATAATTTTAATAATTTTTTGCATAATTAACATATGGGTTAATTGAAATAAAATTTTTCACATAATATAGCACAATGTTTATATATTGAATTAATATATTTTATAAGAAAATAAAAAAAAATAAAAAAAAATAAAAAAAAATATCAAAATTAAAAAGTATAAAATGAAAAAAAAAAATCAAACTTATTTTTTTTTTATAAATTCAAAACAAAAATAAATAAACAAATATATATTAAAAATATAAATATATATATATATATTTTACCACATTAATTTAACTTCATATATCAATAGTAATAATTTTAATTAAAATGGATAGTCTAGTTCACAAATTTGATAATAAAAAGGTTTCGAAAATTGGAGATCCAAAGTTCCCCTCTCATACCAAAATGGAAGATATAATAGGAATTTTTAATAATACATACAAAGGTTTAAATTTACATCTTAATTTGATTGAAGACCTCATGAGTATTTCTTTGGTTCAAGCAAAAAAATTTAATAGAAAATACACTCAATATGTCAAAGATTTGACTGTAGACTTCGATCAATCACAACATGGTATTTTAAATCCTGGTAAAGACTACAAAAATTATATTAAAATAAGAAATTGGATAAGAGCAAGAGTTAGTAAGTTTCTTTTACATTTTAAAAATATGTAACTTAAATATAATACTTACCTTAACAAATATTTTTTTAAAAGAAATAATAATGAAGGACAATGACCTCAACCAAAGACAAAAGAATATTTTGATTTATATTCTTTTACCAATCTATTACCTTCCAAAATATACAAAAAGCTATAATCCAGATAAGCCACGTGGTGAAAAGACATTTTCAAAGATGGTTCTCAATCTCTCAGTTATGCACGCCAAATGTAAATTTGAATATGTTACTGGTTTCTATGATTGTCATCAAAAAAATTTAGCTGCTGTTCCTAACATTAAAAAATCAACATCAAAAGAAAATATTTTAAAATATTGTTGGACAATTATCGTTCTCGTTAATCTTTTTTTGTTTCTCTGGATAATTTTTAAAATATAAACAAAAATTAATAAAATAACATATATTCCTTATGAAGATCATAAAATCAGGATCTTTACTAAAATTACCACCATAATAATATATTTTTAATTGTAAACAATTTTTTGTTTTGGATAATTTTTCTTAATTTTTACACCCGTGAGCTTATAAAAAATTATTGTTCAAACCTCAAACAATAGCATTCATGAATAAAAATAAAAAATTCCACTAACAAATCACTAGATTTATTATTCAATCAAAAACAGGTAAATGGCTTGTCAATACAATGCAATAAAGGTAGTGGAGGAGATCAGTTAACAATGCGATATTGTCAATAGAACTGAATATCGATTTTGAAAGAATTTTAATTGAATACTCAAAAATACATTAATTAATGATAAGTTTAATTTTTCTTAATAAAGTATAAATTATTTTTTATTTTAATTACATTTAAAAAAATCTATCTTTTATTTTATCTGTTTATTTAATTTATTTAATATAGAACATGTATTTTAATAGAATTCTTCTTTAATGACTTTGCCATCTTTCCATTCTTGTAATGCCCATTGTACTTTTTCAACTGGATGGCCACCATAAGTAAACTTCATAAGCATCTCATAAGCAGAGTTATTACCATCAACAAGAACTTTAAGAACTTTAGCTTCAGAGATTACAGCATTATTTACAAAACCTTCTTCAGCTTTACGATTAGCAGCCTTACCAACACGGTTAGTAGAGTCACCCTTTTCATACATTACAACATCATCATGGTAGTATTTATCAAAAACTATATTTTTATTAAAATAAAAAAAAATATTAATAAAACAATACATATAACTTTTTATTATTTTACAATAATAACTACCTTCTAAAATTCTTGATTCTTGAATACCTTTAATAATAGCATCTAAATTTTCTCTAACTGACATTTTAATTAAAACTATATTTATTTATTTATAAAATTATATTTATATTTATATTTATATTTATATTTGTATTTGTATTTGTATTTATTTTTGAATGAATAATAATGAATAAAAAAATTTTAATTTATAGTTATTTTTTTTAAAATTTTAGTTATAAAATTTGACCCATAATATAATATTTTTTAATTTAATCCAATTCTAAATTTAATATAAAAACTACTAATATTCATTCCGGAATGTGAACCAGATTTTTTATTTTTTTTATTTTTTTATTTTATTTTTTTTTTAATTATTTATCTTAATTTAAAAAAAAATGTCTTTTTGTTATTTATTTGATTACTAAATATGTACACAACCGAGCACTAAAAAAAAAAAAATTATATAATTTTTTATTTTTTTTTTTATTTTATTTTTTATAAAAATATAATTCTATAATTTATTTAAATTTATTTCCAAATATATATGTATAAAAATATATATCATTTAAATCAATTACCCCCACATTATTCTATTATACTATGAGTTTTCTTATTAATTTTAAAAAGCATAATACATATACATTTATAAATTAAATTAACACACACACTTGAAAAAATTAATAAAAAATCTTTTATTTTTTATAATAAACTATTTGTTTTCGCTCTCATATGAGGATAAAAAAAAACTTTAAAAAAAAAATAAAAAAAAAAAATAAAAAAAAAAAAAATTTTATTTTATTTTATTTTAAAAAAAAAAATAAACCATAAAATTTTTTTTTAAACAATAACATTAATAATAAAAAAATAAATAAAATAGAACAAAAGTTATATTAAAATCAATTTAGATTAAATTAAATTATAAATATAATATTTTTTTTTTTATATTTTATCTTATATTTAATTAATTTGTAAAATAATAAGGTTTCTTTTTTAAAATTTATTTTTAAAATTTAATTATATCTTTATTTTTTTTATCCTTTCATTTTATAATAATAAAAAAATAATATATGTTGTATATATAAAAATAATATTTAAAATCAAACTTTTAATTGTATAGTAATAATAAATAAAATATAAATATATGGTTATATAATTATACGTTAAACTATATAAATATATAAATATATAAAAAAGAATAAAATGATGGACAATACAACCATAGTTCATCATAACACCAATAATAGCGATGGTAGTATAATTATAGGTAGTAGAGGCAATAATAATATCAATAATAGTAATAATAATAATAATGAAACTATATCAAGTTCACCTGTTTCATCTACATCTTCAATATCTAGTAATACACCTCCTATTGGTACACCATTAAAACCTTCGACATCAATGACAAATTTTACACCAGGTACATATAATGAAAATTCATTATTATTCGGTATGGATGATACACTTGGTATGAATTCTAGTCCAAATAGTAAATTTTCGAGTGGTTCAAGGTAAATATTATTTCTCTTTATAGGATTTTTTTTTTTAAAAAATTTATCTATTTCAACTATTGACAATTAAATTATTTTATTTTTTTAGAACCGATTTTAATAGAAGAAGGAAGCAACAGAGTAAATCACAAAGTTATTCAAATTTTAATTTATTACCAGAGCTATTAAATCAACAAGAGGAGTTAAAGAGTGAACATGACTATGTTGTAGATTTTTGTTTAGTCTTAAAGGAACGTCTAAAGCAGTTATCTATACAGTTAGAGTATGATCTATCAGAGATTGAACATAAAGATCAAGAGATTGATTTAATGAAAAATAGAATTAATAAATATAATATGGAAATTAGAGAAAAGGAAGAGGATAATGAAAAGCTTCAAGAACATTTCGAAATGATCGAAAAAGAGAATAAGGAGTATCGTGAGGAAATTGAAAAGTTGCAAAATGAGATAAAGACATTTGAAGCTGATTGGATTCAACCACAAGAAATTTTTCAATGGAAAGACCAAATCGATAAGATTACCTTCGACATGGAGAGAAAGCAGCAGGATTTAGAAGATTTAGAACTTCGTTATGAAGCATCGACCAAAAGAATTGAAATTTTAACAGATCAAATCAAACGTGAAAGAGAGATACACAAAGAAGAGAACGAGCGTATTCAACAAAAGATCAAATCCGACAGAGACTTTAATAATTCAATTTCAAATAAATTAACCAAAAAAAAACAAAAGAATCATTTATTAAATGAAAAAATAAAAAAGATGCAGTCTGATGCAGATCAGTCCCAAAAGAGTATTGAAAAGTATAAGCTTCAAGCATCAGTTAGCGAAAAAGAATCCATCGAATTAAAGCATACAATAGAATCACTTCAACAACAGCTATTGGAGAGTCAAAACCGCTATAACGATTTATCCAATTCTCAACAAATCATGAACAATCAACTTGCCCAAAATGAAACTGAACGTCAAGCGATTATTGGTCTAATCAATAAAACCGAATTGGAAGGTGATGAACGTCTTAGTATACTTATGAAGGAATGCTCAGCTGCAAATGAAACAATTATAAAACTAAAGGCCAATATTGGACAACTAGAGAGCCAATTAAATGATGAACGTATAACTCGTCAAATATCATCAATATCTTTGAACAATGTCAACTATACACTTAAAGAGCGTGACTTAATCCGTATTGTTCAAGAAAAAGAAGAAGAAATTCAAAGATGTAATAAACATATCCAGAGATTATGTGTAGATAACAATAGTTTGAAGGCAAAGTCAAAGAAATTAGAAGATAATGTAGTTGAAAATTCAGAGCAGCTTAAGGCAACCAAAGAAATTTTGTCGTCATATAAAAAAGATGTATTTAAAATTAAAGAAGAATTATTATTAATTTGGGATGATCATTTCAATGACTCTATTGATGGCAGTATGAACGAAGAGTTAATAATGAAAAGAAAATCAGCAGATGTTTCAGAGATCTCGAAAATTCTCTCTGAAAATGACCAATTATTTAGCGGCAACGATAATCATTTTCTATCACCAATCAAAACACCCACTAAACAACAAAGATCACTCAGTTTGCGTACACCAACATCACCAATTTCACCAGTGCAATCAAATAGTTCATTCTTCTCACCAATATCAAATAAAACAAATAGCGCTAATGGTAAGAATGGAGCACCCGCCAAGACATTAAAAGAGCAACAAATTTTAGAAGATATGTTGGATAAGGCCAGAACTGCAAACCTTGGCTATAGACTACATATTCAATTTTTAACTAAAGAACTTCGAAACTATGAACAAGATTTGGATCAACAAAAGGAATTGTCAAGCTCAGTAATTTCACGTCTTCAGTTGGATTTAGAGGATTCAAAGAGACAAATTTCACGTATGAAAAAAACTTTTCTACAAAGATTTTCAAAAGAAGATGATACATTATTTTTAGATTATTTCTCAATTTTCCCTCATAAATCAAATGGTAGCAGTAATGAGGGCACTTCGACTTATTCAACCTCACCTTCATCATCGTCTCTATTACTAAATAGTAACCATGGCTCTTTTAATGGATATTCGTCAACAGCTAATGCAGGATCAGCACCAGCATCATTATTAACAACTCCTTCAATTAATAATAATAATATAAATAATACACCATCCTCCTCTTCATCAATATCATCATTAAGATCATCATTTCAATCTCTATCAATAAACTCTTCACAAACTATAAATAATGATTTAAACTCTTCATCATCGAAACCAAACTCGCTATCCTCATCATCCTCAATAAATAATAATACCTATAACAGTGATATTACAAATAAAAACAATATTTTAAATAATAGTAATGAAAAGGTTGAAATTGAACAACACAATAATTCAGAAAAGCAAACAACTCCTCCAACAAGTAGAAAGAAATTTTTAGTTTTCTAAAAAAATAAGAAAATAATACAATTGTTATTACTACAACACACATATATATTTAAAAATATAAATATCCAAAAATATTATTTATTTTGTATAAAAAAAAAAAAGAAATAATAAAATAATAACTATATAATTTTAATGTATAAAACATTAATATTATATAATTATTTAAAATGAATAATTATTATTTATTTTTATATATCTAAAAAAAAATAATAATTGTTTTTTAAAAAAAAACTTTTTATTTTAACTCCATACATTATTACATTGGAATTTAGTTTATTTTTTTATTTTTTGGTAATTTTAATTAACTTAATTAATTGATACATGTATTTATTTTAATCGATTTGATTTATTTTTTTTTTAATTTCAAAAACTATTTACAAAAATTGAAAATTCTGAATCTTCATTTTATATTACTAAAACTATAGTGATAAGTTGTATTTTTAATGTATTATTACTATTATTTCTTTTGCCATTGATGCTCGCAACTTGGATTTCTGCACTATATTTATTGAAATTGAAAAATTTGTTTTTTTTTTTAATTAAAAAAATAATTATTAATAAAATATCCCAACTTTTATAAAATAATAAATAAAAGTAATACAAACTCTAAGGAATGAGGTTTTTGGTTCAGGTGCCAAGCTAACCTGAATATCAATAATACCCGCTCTTTTATGATGACATACTGGACATTCAACTAGAAAGATTGAAAAGTAAATTATTAATAAATATATTTATAAAGCATTACCTCTACTATTATTATCATCACTATATATTTACCTTCTACTTGATCAGCACTTTTCCATGCTTCTTCACCACCAAAAACATCGGAATCGACAACTTTTCTAACCAATGGTACTTTGGTAACTACTTTATTCTTTATATGAAATACATATGGACATGTTTGGCAGTAGAATCTGGTATCTGTAATATCAGGCTCTACCAATAACATATTTGCACATAATGGACAAAATAACATTTTAAATAACCTTGAAAAAAACTATATAAATACAATAAAACAATAATTTAATTTCATAAAATTTAAATACTTTTTTTATAAAAACGAAAAAAAAAAAAAAAAATTAAAAAAAAAAAAAAAATTTTTTTTTTTTTTTTACCCCTATTTTTAAAAATGTAATTTAATAATTTAAATTTAATTAGGTTATTATATTTATATCATTGACAATAAAAATAAATTGTTTCCCCCACTTAACTTACCATTTTTTTTTTTAATTTATAATATTTTTTTTTTTTTATTTTTTTTAAATTTTTTTCCACTGTTTAATTTTTTTTTTTATCTTTATTATTGTTTATCTTTATTTGTCTATATTTTAAATGTTAAAATATTAATTTTTAAAAAATATATATATATTTTAATTTAAATTAAATTAAAAAAAAAAAAAAAAAAAAAAAAAAAAAAATTTCATTTTTTTTATTTTTTTCATTAAATTTAAATTATTTTTTAAAAATCCATATATGTTTTACAAATTATATAATTTTTAAATACTGTAGTAAAAAGATAGAAATAAAATGGCAGACAGTAACAAAAATGTTATTTTAAATTGTTTCAGTAATAGTGTTATTCAAAAAGATATACAACAAAAGGAAATTGTAATAGTGGATACATTATTTTCAATAGATGGAAAATATTTAGTTGCATCAAACAGTATTGGTTGTATCAATATTTGGAACTTGGACCTATCTCTACATCAAAAAGAAAACACCACTACCACAACGACAACAACAAACGACGAAAATAATAACCATTTTGGACAGCCATTTTTAGATACACAAGAAAAGACTATTGATTCATCATTTACTGATCTTTTTAAACCCAACGCAGTATATCAAGCCCACCCATCTTTTACAGTTATAAATAAATTACATTTTTTTAATGAATCAATTTTAATGACTGCTGGTGAAAATGACATTAAAGTATGGAATTGGAGTAAAATTGTAGAGCTTATAGGTAATTCTGGTGGTTGTATTAAAATAGATCCAAAATCAATTTACTTGGCCTCAATAGAATCTCCCAGAGCCGAAGGATATGGGGGTATACTTTCAGAAAAAGCTGAAATTAATTGTATGGATAGCCAAGGTTATACTTTATTTTTTGCAAGTGGAAATAACAATGCCTATAGTTATGACTTGGAGAAAAAAAATATTATCGGTACCTTTAAAGGCCACACAGACTACTTGCATACAATCAAATATAACTCAACCTTTGATAATTTTTTAACATCCTCTGAAGATTCAACCGTCAGAATATGGGGTAAGTAATATAAAACCAAACCATTATTATTTTAATACTAATGATTTTTTTTTTTTTTATATAAATATTTTATAGATAACAGATCATCAAAATGTGTATCTATTTTAAATCCATTTTATAAAATCTCATTCGATTTAAAGAACGATAATCATAATAATAACAATAGTAACAACAATAATAATAATAATAATAATAATAATATAACAATGATTGGAGAAGAGTTTTCTTATGATGACGACCCAAAACAAAGATTAAATAAATTATTAGAAAATGATAATTTAGATTTAGATGACAGTAGTAATGATAATAAAAAAAATAAAAAACAAAAAACTCAAATACCAAATGACAATGATGTGTTTAATTCATATCTTTCCAATATTACACCAAACTCAACTAAAAAATCAAAATCAGAAACAAACTTTAATCATTGGTGTGGTCCATTGGATTTAGACGAAACTGGTAATTGGTTAGCAGTGGGTGGAAGTACTTTAAGTTTATGGTACTTGGGTCAATTAAATACTATGGTCTCACAACTACCTGTAGAAGAGTCTACCTACTCAATACTGTTCAATAAAGAAAAAATCATAACGGCTGGTAGTGATGGCTATGTCAGCTACTTTGCTTTAGACGGTAGACCATTAATGAGAGTTCCTTCCTCTTCAAAAGTTTTGTATTCACTATCATATAATCAAAATAAAAAAAATCAAGTATGTATAAATTAATTTAAAAACTACCATCATTTTAATTAGAATATACTAATCATTATTTATTATTTAATTTTAGATTTTAGTTGCAGGTGGAACATCTCCATTTATTAATACTTTTATAAATAATGAAAATATTGCATTTTCATATTATTTTGTAAACGATGATTAATACAACAACTTGTTCGATCGATAAATAAATTAATAAATCTTTTAAACAAAAAAAAAAAAACAATAAATAAAAACTATTTTTGGTGTATTAATATGTTGAATATATTAAATAAAATTATAAAAATTTATGTAATTTGCATTTTATTTGATCTAAATAATTGAAATATTTAGATATTATTTCTATATGATAATAACAAGTATAATAGTATTATTTAAGTTGTCTTTTATTTAACCTTATTATTTATAAAGAAGCAATTAGGTTTCACTTGATAAACATTCTTCAATTTTATCTATTTCACAAAACTCCTCTTTAGATGATTGGCTACTAAATTCTTGAATTACTTTTTGTTGTCGTTCATCTTCTATTTTAACCTTTATTTTTCCTCTGTTGGATAAATCATCTGTTTTAATATAGTAAAAAAAAAAATTAATAAAATATTTTGATTTTAATAAAATTTTATTTTTTTACCTATAAGAAATAATTGATAAAATATGAATATAAAAAAAACTGTAATTATTATTATTATTTTTTCATTCATAACAATCTTAAATAAATACTAAACCACACAATAAATTTAAAACAAATACGATTTTTAAAAAAAAAAAATTTTAAAAAAAATAATTTTAAATTTTATAAATTAAAATATTTTATTTTTTAAAATATTTTAAATTTTGCCCAAAATTAGAAAAAAAGATATATTTTAATTATTGGAATAAAAAAAAAAATAAAAAAAAAAAGAAAAATTGAAATAATATTTATTTTTATTGTTTTCTCACCTAACAAACAATAAACCTATAAATATCATAGTATCCCCCCTTTTAATTTAATTTTTATTATAATTCAAACGAAATATTTTTTTTTTTTAATTTTTAAAAATAATATTAAATAATAAAATATTTAATATTTTTTTTATTTTATTATATATTCAGTATTTAGAATTTACAACAGATAATATATAATAAATAATAGATACAATAAAAAATGAAAAATATAATTTTAATTTTTTTAATATTATTTTTAACAAACTTTTTTGTTAAATCAATAGATTTAGATTTCAGTCAAAACACTTTAAATATCAACCAAACAGATGACATACTTTTAAAAAAGCAATTATATTTTATCCGTCCTGATGTTAGAAAATGTTCATCTCCACATTGCGGTGGATACTTTTTAAAGAAGATTAATGTTCAAGAGGGTGCCCCAGTTAGTGAATTAGAAGAGATTTATATTAGTGAAGTAATGGTATCAGACCCATTAATAAACTCTACACTTTTAACCGACCAAAAGCAGTATCAAATTGACCATCCTAATTCAATAATTGTAAGTGGAGAGATTGCCCCAGACCACCACGATGGACAGTACCATTGCCTTCATCTTACAGACATCTATCACAAATTGCAATTACCAATAGAGGCCAATAAAGGACCAAGACCATTGGTTGTACCATTAGAATCTTATTATTTTTTAAAGCCATCACCATTAGTATGTAACCATTTAGCATCAAATTGCCCAAGTGTTGTCATACTTAAAGCAAATACTCAAGAAACCAAATTTATTTCATCATACTCTGAACCATATACAAAATCTGTTCCATTTTTAGATCAAAAATGGTTTACATCAAGATTACTTTCACAAGACCCAACCTATAATGCTCTTGCCAAAGGTTATATTTTAAAAGATAAATTAATCATCTCCTCTGTCTTTAGTAACACAGCTGACCCAAGAACCCCATGTGCAAAAATGGTAGATGCCACAAAATGCAATATTGCTATTGGTCAAGTTCCAACATTTAATCGTGACCAAGACCGTTGCCCAGTATTTAACAAATGTGTTCAACGTGGACCATGTCATTTAGGAATTCCATCGTGCCCAGAAGGTTATAGACTTTTTTCACTTCCATCAGGTTCTAAAGGTTGTCCCAAATACTATTGTGATGCTGATGTTTTACCAAACCCAACAAATAATTTACATATAAATTAAAAGAAATTTTTAAATTTTATTTTATTTTTATATTTTAAACAATAAATAAACAGAAATAATTAAAATTTATAAACAAAAAAACTTTTGGTTTTTAATTTTTTATTTTTTTTTATTTTATAAATAGTTTTTTTTTAAAAAAATTAAAAATGATTTTATTATTTTAAGCAACTGAATCTGAAATTTTTTCTAATCTATTTACCAATTCTATAACTTCACTTGGATCATTTAAATGATAACTATCTTTATTACTTTTTTTACCAACTGAAATATTATAAATTTTACCTTCAAACTGTGGCAACTCACTTGGGTGAATATGGGTATCTCCTATTAATAATACTAAATCCAAATTCTTTGGTATTGAATCTGTTATGACTTTTTTCATAGATGATGTTGGATTAATGTTATATGATCTTACACCCTAAAGAAATAAAATCAATCGAGTTAATAAAAAGTTTTAATTCTGCAATGATAATTATTATATAAGATAGCTTACCAATGTCTTATCACCAACAATAACGTCCAAGGGTAAATTGTCTAAATGTAAGTGTAATTCTCTGGCCTGAATACAACCGAATACTGGATCTGCATTTCTATAATGCCATGTGAAAAGCATTTCTTTTTCTTCAAAGAAAGAACCTGGTGTACGAAGGGTGAAATATTTAAACAAAGGTCTAATTGTTTCTTTCCAGCTAAGGTCCATTGATGGTACCTGTTGCTCCCACTCTTCACTATCTGGATCTTTGAAGAAGCATCCATACTCTGCTGACAAACCAATGTGTAAACCATTAAACCACTCGCTAAGAGTTTTCTTGTCACGACCTGATAAAATGTAAAGGTCATTCTTTGGATCATTTGAAAGGATATCAAAACTTTCTAAAAGCTCTTGAGATGGACGGCTGAGCTGTGGAACGTTTGTGTATGGAATGAGGGTACCATCATAAGCGAAAATTAATAAACGACGCTTACTATTTTTATAGATATCGACCACCTCATCAATGTTAAGCTTTGGAATTGAGACCATTTTATCTGCATTGTGGCTAGCTTTGTAAAGTTCTTTAACAAAACCTAAACCCCAGTGGGATGCTGTATGCTTGGTGACATAGTTTAAAAGCATTTGATGTTTTTCTTCGCGCTCTTCCTCTGACATTGTAAGAGCATTATTAATTGAATCTGCAACCTCCTCTGTGTTCCATGGGTTAATCATAACAGCACCTGATAATGATTGTGCAGCACCTGTAAACTCACTGAGAATTAAAACACCTTTTTTATCGGTTTGACAAACAATATACTCTTGAGCAACTAAATTCATACCATCTCTAATTGAAGTAATTAAAGCAGCATCGGAAATATTATATAAGGCTGTAAGCTCTGTGGAGTCAACACTCTGGAAAAGATAATGAATTGGACTATACCCAAGACTACCATAAAGACCATTGATTCTACCAACCAACTCCTCTACCTCTTTTTTTAACTTTTGATATTCTTCTACATCCTGTCTAGATGGGACTGCAACTTGAATTAATACCAACTTACCTTTCCATTCTGGGTATTTTTGGAACAAACGCTCGATAGCCTGAAGCTTCTGTGGTATACCTTTAATATAATCTAAACGATCAATACCAATTAAGACCTTAGATCCTTCGAAAGATTTCTTTAACTCTTGAATGCGACTCTCTACCTTTGGGGTTTTGATGGACTCAAAGAATTTATCTGGATCAATACCGACTGGGAAAACACCAACCTGTACGAAACGATCTCTGAAGTATACACCATTTGGCGCTGTTTCTAAACCAACTATTCTAGTACATGCCTTTAAAAAGTGACGAGCATAATCATATGTGTGGAAACCAATTAAGCAACAATTTAATATACCCATGAGAATTTCTTTACGACATGGCAAGACACGGAAAATTTCTGATGATGGAAATGGAATATGAAGAAAGAAACCAATTCTAGCTTCAGGTTTCTTTTGCTTTAGAATCTCTGGGAACAACATCATATGGTAATCATGTACCCAAACCATATCATCGGGCTTTAAGATATCGGCGACAACAGTTGAAAAAATTTCATTGGCCTCTACATATGAATTCCAAATTTGGTCATCATAATCTAAATCTCCTGGTAAATAGTGAAACAATGGCCACAAAACTCCATTTGAAAACCCATTATAATGTTCATTTGCAACACGTTCTTCTAAAAATACTGGTATACAGCTATAATTCTTCCAAAGCAAGTCTTTAACCACTGGTCTATCCTCTTCATCAATTTCTGTACCGATCCATCCTACCCATATAAAATTTGATTTTAACCCCGATAATGCAGCTACTAAACCACCAGAACTCATTTACTAGTCC